TAGTATGGCTTCGGGGCTTTCATTTGAGCCCTACACTGTGGAAATCAGTGGAGATATGGTGGAGATACAAGGCTTACAAAATCATGACTCATGCAGACAGTTTTTTGAGCACATATTAAAACTATATAAATCATCATTTATGACACCATAACAATCATGTCACCATTAAATAAATTATAAAGTGGTGTCATTATGTCATTTTAAAACCATGTCTAACTATACAAACCAAAAATTTCCATATGTCATGGTTATATTCACCATGAAAGCCACCCCCCCTGCTCAAATGGATAATATCCTCTCTCTTTCCTATTCTGGCCTCTCTGCTTGTCAAATTTCCTCTAGAACTGGAGTATCCAAGTCCACTGTGGCCAAGTTCATCAAAGAAAGTCACAGACAAGGAAAACTTCTGTGAAGGGTGTCCATCCAAGCTCACCTCTACTGATAGGAGGGCTATTATTCAACATATCACTACAGGAAAGGCTGATAATGCTGTCCAGGTCACCTATTACATCAATTCCACCATCACATTCCCTGTCTCTTCACACACTGTGAGAAACATTCTCAAGACAGCTCATCTCAGGTCAGTAACAAGGAAGAAAAGGCTCTCCTCTCTATCACACATATGCAGAGAGGACTAGCACCCTTCTTGTTTCACATATATACCTTGCCATCTGACCCAATCCTATTTATTGTGGTCTTATATGATCATATAACATGCTTCCAGTCCATGTAATCCAATTCTGATAGGCTAAGGCAAAGGTTAGTCATCTCTGTATATGTGTGATAGAGAGGAGAGCCTTTTCTTCCTTGTTACTGACCTGAGATGAGCTGTCTTGAGAATGTTTCTCACAGTGTGTGAAGAGACAGGGAATGTGATGGTGGAATTGATGTAATAGGTGACCTGGACAGCATTATCAGCCTTTCCTGTAGTGATATGTTGAATAATAGCCCTCCTATCAGTAGAGGTGAGCTTGGATGGACACCCTTCACAGAAGTTTTCCTTGTCTGTGACTTTCTTTGATGAACTTGGCCACAGTGGACTTGGATACTCCAGTTCTAGAGGAAATTTGACAAGCAGAGAGGCCAGAATAGGAAAGAGAGAGGATATTATCCATTTGAGCAGGGGGGGTGGCTTTCATGGTGAATATAACCATGACATATGGAAATTTTTGGTTTGTATAGTTAGACATGGTTTTAAAATGACATAATGACACCACTTTATAATTTATTTAATGGTGACATGATTGTTATGGTGTCATAAATGATGATTTATATAGTTTTAATATGTGCTCAAAAAACTGTCTGTATGAGTCATGATTTTGTAAGCCTTGTATCTCCACCATATCTCCTCTGATTCTCACAATGTGGTGCTCAATCCAAAGTCCTGAAGCAGCACTACAATATGGTATTAGTATGTCACTGAGGTCTTTATGTATTCTCATACAATATTGTAAATAGTAAAAAATGCAAAAACATGTGGACAGTTTTTTGAGCCACTGTAATTAGTCAATGCATCATGAAGACCAAGGTTAGTCCAGTAGTACAGCTCAACATATTGGCCTTTGTCCAATTTGTGGAGGGCAAAATTGGATACTAACACATCTTCCTCATTGGCAAGGGGACACGGGTGCATGGGAATTGCTAAGTGTTTGAAATGATTCTTCTTCTGCTCATCTGCCTTTGTGGCAGCATCTTCTACCCAAAGAGTAATCTGTTGACACTCCTGTTCCTCATCAGCAAGACATTGTGTCTCTGCCCTCAAATGATCATCTTCTACTACTTGCTCTTGCCATTGCAGGCAGAGAGCCTCATTAGTCACAATCCAGATATTATGTAGTGTTTCAGCTGCTTGAGCCTCTGTGACATTGGCAGTGACCATACTAGTGTGGCTGATTTGATACCAGTCAATCATGAAGTCTGGGCATGCCAAAAACCAAGGGTTGGAGTGAAGTCTGTCCATTTCTGAAACATCGAAGGAGAGAAGCAACTTGTGAGACATGGGTGCCTTGAAAGAGGCAGACTCAAACAGAGAGTAACTGAGCTGAGAGTAGTATCTGTAGTCTCAGAGATATGAGTAGTGAAGGCAGGAAGAAAGAAAGGTGTGAGTTTTCTCTACTCAAAATAGCATAGACTTAATTCTAACCACATGCTTGTGCCTCACACTAGGGAGAACATGAACTTTTGGTGCTTATGTAATCATCATAGTTTTCACCACCTACCAGTACCAGTCTGAGACTGAGAGTTATTAGCATGATTTCCTATCCTCTCTGAGCACTGAGCTTAGTCCAGAAACCCTTTAGGGTTGAATAGCAGCTAGGCATAGCACATTTGACCCAACTTTATAAGGCTACTTTCCAGTTCTCTTCTTGTTGTGTTTCCCACACTGGTGACCATAGGTGACCATGCAGTTAAGAAATGCTGGTACACTTGCCTATTTTCATCAGAATTATACATTTTTTCCATATCTTATCCTTTGCTGCCAATTTGCTTATCTTATATATTATTTTGTCTACTTTTGTCATTACAAATAATCACATGAATTTTTGATCTGATCTTACCAACTACAACTACAAAAACTGTTGCCTCAGTGATTTCCTGATGGACCAGAGAAGGCCAGGAAGGAGAAGGGCCAGGGAGGAACCATGAAGGGCTAGGGAGGAAGGCCAGGGAGGAGCCAGGAAAGGCCAGAAAGGGTCTAGGTAAGGCCAAGGAAGAGTCATGAAGGACCAGGGAAGAGGACCAGGGAGGGTCAGGAAGGAGCCATGAAATGCCAGGGAGGAGCCATGAATAGTAGGGAGAGGAGGATGTGGGCTTGAAGGGCTTGAAGGGTTTGAAGGGCTAGAAGAGGTGCACAGTTAGAGTGTGGATGAGATGAGAGAAGACAACTGTTGAAGAATGTGAACCACAACTTACATAAGCATCATGTGGCATGGCTACTGTAGTGCAATGTTACCTTGTGAAGCAAGGTCAATATGGTGTGGAACATTTTCTGCCCTACTATTACATAAACAGAGGCATGTGATAGATGATCATCAATAAATAAAGATACATAAATTCAGATACAGTGGCTCAAAAAACTGTCTGCATGTTTTGACATTTTTCACTATCTATGATATTGTGTGAGAACTCACAAATGGCTCAAGGACATGCTTATAGCACATTGTAGTATGGCTTCAGGGCTTTCATTTGAGCCCTACACCGTGGGAATCGGTGGAGATATGGTGGAGATACAAGGCTCACAAAATGGTGACTCATGTGGACAGTTTTTTGAGTGTATATTAAAACTATATAAATCATTATCTATGACACCACAAAAATCATGCCACTATTATATAAATTATGAAGTGGTGTCATTATGTTATTTTATGACTATATCTAACTATATAATGTATCATAGTCATAATCACCATGAAAGCCATCTCCTCTGCTCAAAGAGATAATATCCTCTCTCTGTCTTATGCTGGCCTCTCTGCTTGCCAAATTTCCTCTAGAACTGGAGTATCCAAGTCCACTGTGGCCAAGTTTATCAAAGAAAGCCACCCAGACAAGGAAAACTCTTGTGGAGGACATCCATCTAAGCTTACCTCTACTGACAAAAGGGCTATTATCCAACATATCACTACAGGAAAGGCTGATAATGCTGTCCAAGCCACCCATTATATCAATTCCACCATCACTACCCCTGTCTCTTCACAAACTGTGAGGAATGTTCTCAAGGCAGCTCATCTCAAGGCAGTAACAAAGAAGAAAAAGCCTCTTCTCTCCATCAAACATAGGCAGAGAAGACTAGCCTTTGCCTTAGCTCATCAACACTGGACTGTAGAGGACTGGAAGCATGTTATATGGTCAGATGAGACCAAAATCAATAGGATTGGGTCAGATGGGAAGGTATATGTATGGAATATGTATGGAAAAAGAAGGGAGATGGCCTAACAGACAAAGAGGTTAATGGGACTGTCAAGTTTGGAGGAGGTTCTTTAATGGTATGGGGCTGTATGGGATGGAATGGTGTGGGAATGCTTGCTGAGGTTGAGGGGAAGATGAATGCTGAGCAGTATGTGGACATTTTAAATGACCACTTGCTGCCTAGCTTGGCAGAATCAGGGATTGATGAAGAAGATATCATTTTCCAACAGGATAATGATCCCAAGCACACATCCAGAAGAGCTAAGGAATGGTTTGAAGAACATAACATCAATGTTCTTGACTGGCCAGCACAGTCTCCTGATGTCAATGTCATTGAACATCTCTGGGGAACACTCAAGAAAAAGCTTCAAGCCTATGAAAACCCCCCTAAAGGAGTATGGGAGCTTTGGGAGAGTAGCAGTGGAATGGGGGAAGATCACAGCTGAGGATTGCCAGAAATTAATTGAGAGTATGCCTAGAAGGATAGAGGCAGTAATTAAAGCCAAGGGAGGTCATACAAAATACTAGAATACCTGGTTATTATTGTAAAATACTTGAGTCAAAAAACTGTCCGCATGAGTCACCATTTTGTGAGCCTTGTATCTCCACCATATCTCCACCGATTCCCACGGTGTAGGGCTCAAGTGAAAGCCCTGAAGCCATACTACAATGTGCTATAAGCATGTCCTTGAGCCATTTGTGAGTTCTCACACAATATCATAGATAGTGAAAAATGTCAAAACATGCAGACAATTTTTTGAGCCACTGTAAATGCAGAAACTGAGAGTGAGAAAGAGGCAAGATAAATCAGAACTGCTGTGAGAATTCTGATGGTCAATGTGTTATAGAAGATGGCAAATGAAGCTTACATTCATACTTGAGACCCAGAAGAATCCTCATTTTCTTCATGACATGATTTTTTCTTCTCTGGTTCAGAACTGCATCACTGGGGTGTGGATGTTTGTAGTTAGAGGTGTGATGTCCATAACCCAGCTTCAAGATGATGATTTTCTCAATATTGGCCTGGAAACTGTCAAAGTCACTAATGTGCCAGTGAAAAATGCCAAAGTGAACTTTAACAATGGCGCCATTGATCACATTCTGTGCATGAGAAGGTTCAACAAGGGAAGAGGATCTGCTTGAAAAGTGTACTTCAACTTGTCAAGTTCACATACAAGTTCTTCTGCAATAGGCCAGTTCTGAGTTTCTTTGTCCACTTGAGGTGCTCCTTTGAGACTCTGACCATGTGGAGAATCCAGCACAATCCTCTCCTATTTTAAGTGAGCATAATAACTCATGGCAAATGATCCATAAAGACTCACTCTTTTTTCAAACACATTTCTGACAATGCAAATCATCTTTTCTGTAATATCCTTGACAATCATATTTTTATGCTCCTTGGCAGTCCCAACTTGGTTTTGGAGAGTATCCAAAACAGACATCCCAGTGTCAAAGTCCATGCTGAGTTCATGGTCAGCTGGATGAGTAAGGTAAAGCTGGTATTTAGCTTTGGCAAGAGGACTGGTGTCTTTTTTGATGTGATTGCCAGCTGGTCAACATTTAAGTCAGAAAGGAGAAATATGGTCAGTTAAAACACCTATAAAAGGAGATTGGTTGGTTTGATTTGCAACTTTGAAACTGTTACTAGTATGCTGCCAAGCAATAGAATCTAAGAGACCATGATAAGCCAGATAATTTGGCTCGTGATGTTTGTGAGTGTGATAAGTGTGTGCATCAAACAACTGATCTCCTATGATTCATCATTATCATCTAGTTTACATAAGTTGCAGATTAGTCATAGTTCTGGGAGACTCCCATTGAATCACCAGTCATATGGCAAATATTGCAAACTCTAGCAAGCAAGATGCAATGCAACTTGCTGAATATCTCACTATGAAAGATATAATATTGGAAGCTTGTCCAAATCTGCTTTCAAAAACAGCAATATATTGTTGAAGTGACCTTCTTGAAGCAGTATGACAATCATCCCCATTGCAGGAGACTGTTAGACAAGCTTATAATCAGAAGCAAGAATGGTGCATAGAAGAAAGGCAGACATGTCTCAAAAAATCTTGTCTGAATGATGATGTGATTGGGAGTGATGAAGATGACCATGCATCTTTTTTCAGAAATCCTGATGAGGACATTAAAAAGAAATCACTGGCACAGTTCATTGATCATACCAGTGATATGCACACTTGTCAATCTAGCTGTCTTTCTTGTGCCAGAGAACAGTTTATTAATGATATGCAGGGCATCTATATCAATGAACTACCAAATCAACATCTACTTACTCCCACCTTTTGACATCGCACACAGTCTCTAGTCCATGGTATGCTATTACATGAACCTGCAATAGCTCAATCTGATGACAGACAGTGGGGAGCAATATGTGCTGATTGTCATCAGGATCTTTGTGCCAAAAAGATCCCACTATATTTACTTGCAAATGAACTTTGGATTGGAGACATTATGGGAAACATAACAAGAAGAGAACTGGAAAGTAGCCTTATAAAGTTGGGTCAAATGTGCTATGCCTAGCTGCTATTCAACCCTAAAGGGTTTCTGGACTAAGCTCAGTGCTCAGAGAGGATAGGAAATCATGCTAATAACTCTCAGTCTCAGACTGGTACTGGTAGGTGGTGAAAACTATGATGATTACATAAGCACCAAAAGTGCGAACATAACACTAAGTAATATCTGCCTATACAAGCCCACAGTAATGAAATCCCTACAGTGAAACAGTGTTGGACCTACTTGATTTGTCCTTGTAAATGTTGAAGTTGTTTTCTGCTTGTAATGAAATGAAGTACTCACCTTGTTTCTGTCATTATGTTACAAGTGTCTACTTTACTGATGCTGATGCTTTTAGTACTGCACCCTTAATATAAACTATCATATTTCAAGGAGGCCAGATAGGGGCTGAATGGATTCAAGCTGCTGAGGGTATTGTTCATGAGGAGTTTGAGCATTCTTATACAAGCACTAACAAGGCTGACCCAGTGGATGATGCTGTGGATAAGGATGAAATGCTGGAAATATCAGCAGTATGTATTATCTTGTCCAACTTTACCATTTTCTCACCATTTGTTTACCAGCAAAAAGCTTGTAACATCTTTGACAAATTTCCAGCTTTAGCAGCACCCAAGCAGTCAGAGCTCTGTGATGAGCTTGATTCATACTTCAGCACAGATCTGGAATATGTTGTGGACATCTTAGCTTGGTGGACCAAATGGAAGGCAATGTATCCCCAACTCTTCTGAATGGCCTTAGATTATCTGTCAATTCCTGGTGAGTTTTTTTATTAGCCCTGTGTCTGTCAGCAACTTATCTCATTCATTTGTATATGTAGTGATATCAGTTGATGTGGAGTGAATTTTTGGCTGTGGCTACCTCTTGTTGTCTCATGTCTGCAGTCACCTATCTGCCCAGTCTGTTCATGTATTACTTTGCTTAGGTTCATGGAGTCTTTTAGGGTTGGTCAAAGACCAAGATGTTATGGCTGTTGCTGTGATGCCTGAGGTAGTTGGTGAAGAGAATAAGCTTGACAACAGATGGAATTTGATTCAATTGTAGTTCATATTGCTAGCAGTATACATATATGAAATTTGGATGCATAACCATAGTACACCCCAATCCCCATGGACATGTACCCAAACCCATATCCAATAACATGGGTAATGGGTATAGTTTTGCATGGGTATGGGTGCAGGTACAGCACAGAATACCCATGGGCTACCTGTACTTTTGCCTAGTAGGGGAGGGCTTTGTTGACCTCAAATATCTTCCTATCTGTCAGAAAAAATTACCACTCTACACACTCAGAATATGTGCATGCAATCAGCTCTGATTTTGGACTTCCAATGCTGAACTCATTGTTATGATACATCTCACTACCTTGGTCCTCCTGCTGATGGCCAGAACTACCTTTCTTTGTCCCACTTGCTTTGGCCTCCAAACCAAATTGTCCTCTCCATGACTGAATGAGTTGGATTGGTCTATCTTATTCTGGTACACTGATCTATCTCGTATTCATTCTTGTGCCACTTGCTTTTGCCTTCCATCTGAATGAACCTTTTACTCCAAGATTTTGCACTGAATCTGTAATGTCACTCTCCTTCTCTCTGTACCAATGGGCAGTATACTCTTTCCTCCTTCATAAATGAATGGTTTACAAATTTTATCTCCATAACATATCTGAAACAGGGGGCTTCCTTGACACCTGGTATGAGCCATTTATCCTTCAATCTCAGACAACATATGAGATACCACAGGGTGTACTGAGTAGTACATTCACTTTCACATTGTCTCACCATGTTGATCATTCACATGCTTCTCACATCCATGACATATATCCACCAATGACTTTGTCCACCTCCTGTCCATTCTCATCCTGTGTTTTTCATTTGCCATCATTTTACCTACCTTTGTATCATGAAATTAACCTGAAGTTAATATGATCAGATATAATTTGTAATTACAAAACATTATTATGTATATAACCCCTGTACAACTTCTGTAGAGTCCTCAGTCAGAATATCATCTTAGATCTGTTTTTATCTGCTCTCGCATCTTCCAGACTTTAGTCCATCTGAGTCTTGTCCTTTTCCATAAGGCCTAGGGATGGATTCCCTAGGCTAGAAATCCAGACCTTTGGATTTGTCCCCTATGTCTCTGTCCCAAGTCTAGGGATTGTTTCCCTGGGCTAGAGTCTTGCCTTTCTGGCACTTACCCTCTCTTTAGACTTTGGTCCACTTCCTGTCTCTCTAACTCTATCTATGTGTAGTCTACCTCTGTTTGTTTCTACATTGGACTTTGTCTAATGTAGCCCCTATTCCTTCTGGACCTCTGGGCCTCCTATTCCTCTATCTCGTTTCCTCTAGAGGTATTGCCTTGGGGTCTCTTTACCTCCTATGCAGTAGGAACTCTTCTGAGCATTTCCTGTACTCCTCTGAAATTCTCCTGCATTCCTCTGGAAGTCCTTTGGATTTCATTAGACCAACATCAGACTTCATCTGAAATGAAGGGCATATACTCAGGTAAGGGGCACATCATATGAGCTGAGGCCAAGCTCCTCTGAATCAGCCCCTCTCCCCTTGAGCATGGTTCTTAACAGTGAGTGAGTAATATAGAACTTAGATTGGGGCTTGCACCAACTTGATAACCAGACCTTTGATAAGGAGATTAGCAAAGGATGGCTGATCATTTATATGGATGATATCCTGATCTTCTTGAAGACACTCACAGAGCACTAAGAATGAACACAGCACATGTTGGAAAAGCTTAGGAAAGAATCACTCTTTCTTAAGCCTGAGAAGTGTACCTTCAATGCAAAGGAGGTTGAGTACCTTGGGATAATCATCTGCCCTGGCCAAGTCACTATGGACCCTGCCAAACTAAAGGGTATCAGTAAATAGCAGACCCCATCCTCTGTCAAGGATGTCTGATCATTCCTCAGTTTCTGCAACTTCTATCAACATATCATCTCTCATTACTCCAATATGGTATGCCCCCTTCTTGATCTTATGAGGAAAGATGTATCTTTCTCATGGAATGACTCTTGCGAGGCAGCATTCCTGAAACTGAAAGAATGCTTCCTCTCTGAACCAGTTCTGTGGAACCCAGATGTGATGCACCAATTCACACTTGCCACTGATGTGTCCCTCCACACAACAGGAGCTATTCTCCTGCAAACAGATGAGAACAGGGCTTATCACCCATGTGGGTACCTTTCACAATCATTGAACCCTGCAGAACACAATTACCAGATCTATGACTGAGAATTACTTGCCATCATACATACCTTGAAGGAATGACACCATTTCCTTGAAGGGAATTTTCATCCCATGATCATATTCACAGATCATGAGAACCTCTTATATTTCAGGTCCACTCAGAAGCTTACATACTGCCAGGCTCACTGGCAGCTCACCCTTTGCGATTTTGACCTTGCTTTCTACCACATGCCTGGAAGCAAGCTCACTGTCCCTGATGCCCTTTTGCATCGACCTGACCATATATCTGCCGATAAAGATAATGAGGATCTTGTGCTCCTCCCAGATTCACTGTCTGTGAAACTGATTGACTCAGAGCTTGCTGCAGAATTCCAGCAGCTCTCGACTGACTCTGATGATCTGATGATCAAAATTGCACTTAATGCACTGAATGGTGTTTGTGCACCAGCAATGAAGTCTACACTTTCGGATTGGAAGTTTACAGATGGAATACTGTTTTATAAGGATTGAGCCTACATCCCCTCCAACCTCCAGCATCATATCCTTTCCCTCCATCATGACCATTCTACTGTGGGACACCCTAGCTGTTCTATCACTGAGTGGAATATGAAGAAATCTTACTGGTGGCCCAGTGTAGAGACTCACACCTCTATATGGTCATTATAGGACAATGCACTATCCCTTCCTATGCATACTCCAGCTCTGATTCTCAGGATAAGTCACTC